AAGTAAACGAGCTCTTCCTCCTCCTCCTCCTCCTCCTCCTCCTCCTCCTCCTCCTCCTCCTCCTCCTCCTCCTCCTCCTCCTCCTCCTCCCCCTCCTCCTCCTCCTCCACCTCCTCCTCCTCCTCCTTTGAAAAGTGTTGATGTTGCGCTCGATCGAATGGCAGGTCGGTGGAAAGAAAGGCATGTCTGCTTGTCAATTACTCATATCATTCTCGGTCTTGATTCCATCTGTTTGTTCCATTATTTTCTTTTCCTTTTGTTCTTCCTCCATGGAAGACCTCGCACGTAATGGAAAATTTGCGCTGATTTGACGATGCATTCAACAAGCTGAAGGACACCTAAACTCCTGTTGCTTCCAAATGAAGCGAACGGCAGGTGACTAATGTTTGGAGAGAAGGAGGAGTGACAGAGGAGAGAGATTAGTTTGACAAGCTGACAGATACGCATACGGCGTTTAAGAGCGCCGGCGGTGTGATGAAGGCAGAAGGAGCAAATGTTCCTGGTTGGTGATTAAAGTGGTTATGCTGGTGGAAACATGAATTCGATCAGTGATGGGTTGAAGGATGGAGGGAAACGAGATAGATGGATGGACTTGGCTTCTTTTAGCTCAAAATTCGCTCAACGATTTGCTGTCGGAATATCGATGTACATCACTCAACTACGGAGACTGGGAGGCTTTGCCTTGTCGTGACCTGAACATGATGGAAAATTAATTTGTTTTAGGACACGAGCCGTTGCAAAAATGGTTATAAGGCGGAAGAGAAGGTGAATTTAATTTAAATATTAGAACCTCCTCAGTTATTTAGGAAGCTCAGTAATAACCCAAAAAAAGACAACTTTGTGCAAAAGGGATGAGCAGTTACAAATGTTTAGTTTTAGTTACTTATACTAATAAATGACACATCCCTACAAAAAAACACCAAGAACACTGATTTATTTGAGCAAAGTTAGGTAGTACAAAGTTAAAAAACTTTTTGGTGCTACTTAGCAGTGTACTTGGGTAAAAAAACAATGAATAATGAACAAATAACATTCTAATTTACGAAGTGGTCTTCAGTAAGGAGATTGCCAGTGTGTTGGGGAAACTCCCTTGTCTCAAAAAAATTCCATCGATTTTGCATGCATTAGTTTGCTGCTCAAAATTTATTGACAAATAACTACTTTACAAATGCTTTAAAAAATAGGTAATCGACATTTTAAGCTGGGCTAGTAAATACATAGATGCTTAAGTATCCATTTCGTTTTTTGGCCACTTTAAGCAACATAAAACATGCTGCTAAGCAGTAAATGATAATGAAAATGAAAATCAGGCCAAATTTTTTGTTTAAGAACCGATAAACAAAACATGGATACTAAATACTAGATCCTGCTCTTATTATCTGATTGGCTGGATGAATTTCAGGCACTTAGCCCGTGAAATTGGCCTCTCTTACACTTCATTTGGCTTATTTTACCGACAATGGCTCTCGTAGATTACGGTGCTTCAGATATGTCAGATTCTGACTCTGAAGGTATAACTTTTTATGTTCTCGATACCAAACCATGTGAATGTTTTCATTGTGTCCCTACTTTTGTAGGTAAATTAATAGATGAAAACAGTTCGACGAAATCTCAGAGTACTTCTAGTAAACAGATGGATTTTCATGATAAAGTCGAGGATGAGTATAAAATGCGCATGCCTAAGAACGCGAAACCTCTTTTAGAACCCTTGAACATTCAGCGAAAGTCTGGAATAAATGGGAAGGTCATTTTATCGATTCCTACTGTGGAAGAAGTACGCTTTGGGCGTTTTTGTTTGAATGTGTTTGCAATAAGATAACGTTTTCACAATTTTATTTCAGTTCGATTCTTCTGACGATAGTGATTCTGACGACCTGGAAAATGTTAAGGTAACTGCCTCACTTGCATATCCTCCTTTCTTCCATACTAAGGAAAATTATTTGCCGCTGTACTTTAAACGGTTTTTCTTCTACTTGAAATTTATCGGTTCTTAATACTAGTTCTGGGATTTGATGCTTTTTAAGACAAAATTGCCCTGGATAATTATTGTTGATAGATAGTACGAATGAGTTGTTCAAACGCTACATGCTCTTTGGATACCCTTATTTTAGAGACCTCCTCGCAAAGCAGTTGGGTCTACATCACACAAGAGCCTTTTGGATCTGCTTCCTCCAACTCGTGCTCTAATCGTCAGGGAAGGTGACAAACCGATTATTCCATCTCTCCTTGTTCCAAAACAGGCGATTCAAAGTATCCCAACTAAGCCTGCTCCTGCAAAGTCACCGCGGACACCGGAATTATCTGTCGAGGTTGGTGATATGGACTACGATACGGCCTCTCCAGAAGGCTTCTTCACCTTCAACGGAACTCAGGAAGATTCAGTGTTGCCCTCGAATGCGGATGAAGCTCGGCGTAGGGCAAGAGAGAGCATTCTTGCTGCTGAAGCGGCGGCAGTGGGTAATACTACACCGCAAGAAACGGTTCCCTTGCCACAAGAACTTCCGCCATTGGAAGAGAAGCCCTTCAAGGACTGGCAGCTACCGAAAAGACCGCGTGTGGAACGTGAAGAGGGCGCGAGTAGTGAGGAGGGGGAGGAGGAAGAAATGGGACCCATGTTTACGGCGGAGACGTTTATTCCCGGTCCCGAGGTGAGTTGCCTTTTTTCATGTTAATAAGATTCATAGACCTGACTGCCAATCAGTGGGTTTTATTTTGGTTGCGATGGTTGGATAATGTGTTAATCTAAGAGAAACTTGATCCACCTTTAGGGTTGACAGACTAGCGGCTGATTTTCATGCCATCTTTGTTGTCATTGTGGCGATACATCGAATCTTCATACTTGAACAATCTTTCACCGTTTCATCGGTAGCTTTGAGTCGATCCCCTCCTATTGCTAACACATGATCAAGTTTTCTTTCCCTTTTCGCCGTGAGCATTCATGTAGTCAGCTAAAAATAGCGGATGCCTTACATTTATCTGTACCCAATCGATTCTTCCTTGAGGGATCCCTGGAGGCCTTCACCATATCGACGTGTTACTAGAGCCACTTCTGAGGCCACCCTCGATGAAATAAGCTTAAAGTGTTCCTAATTGGCGCTCTTTCCTTTCTCATAGCGTAAACGAGCGCGTCTAAGTCGTAGCGGCGCCACTGCTATGTCCGTGGCCGATTTGCTCGCCGCCTCAGGTAGGGCAAAGGTGCGGGAGGTTCGCGCAGAGGATCTGACTGCTGGTGCCAGTCTGGAGCTGCTCAAAAATATTACCACCGCTCGTCCCAAGATGGAGCCGCAACAGCATCTGGTGAACAATCCGGGCAAATTGGCCTTCCGCAAGCACCAAATCACATGGCTCGCGTACAAGGTAAAATATTGCTACTGTAAAAAATTTAAGTAGCACCTTTTATTAGGCTAGCTGGTTTATGAGTCGGTAGGATTTTGCGCTTGGGTCCTCTTGACCCTCTCTTCTACCGCTTGTTTCCCTGGTTCCATCTGTGGTTGTGTAAATTTTTAACTCATTGTGTTGCCCATGTAGCAAAAAGGACGTTTTAATCATCACCTAGTTTTTTTCAGACTAGTAAGTATTCACTCTTCGCTGTGAAAACAGTGTAGACTGGAGGTGGTGAGGCAATTGCTTGTGTGGGGGTTGTCGTGTGACTCACTCTGCCAACCCTTACAATCCGGTACGTGAGTTGCCATCCCGGAGAGAAGAGAGCAGCGTTCCGTCGCAACCAGAAGAGAGGGGCGTGTGTCCCTGGGAGCATAGGCTTACCTCCATCAAGGATAAAGTTGTCACTGGCAGGGGGATTTCTGATTAACTGCAGTGGATTTAAAACTTTGGCAATAGGCCAACTCATCACGGTGCTTTTTCTTCCCTACCTTGTATGCAAATCGCCACGCATCGTCGAGTGCTTATTTGATTTAAGTAGCTATGATCCTTGAATTTATTCTCCAGGCGCAAGAACAGGAGTACGAGTTGCAGGAGCAGTGGGCAGAAGCACGACGAAATCAGGCACAAAGTCGACAGAAGTACGGATTTTAAGAGACTTCCATTCTGCTTCAGTCTTTTTTATCTTTTACTTGTAAATACACGCCTTAACTTTACCTAATCAAGCCTTATTGCTTCCTCAAAGGTGGATGTGTTTGTTGCTAGAACTATACTGGTGAGTGTTTGGACGGGTTCGCTGATAAACACAAATAAACCCTTAAGAAGGAGCAGTTCTGGGCGGATTCTCAATTTGAAAATAAAACATGGCTTGCCGGAGTTCCGTATTTTAGGAGGAGGAACAGATTTTTGGAGAAAATATTGGCAGTTTGTGAGTGAAGAGGTATTAGGGTTTTGCTAGGCTGTCACCTGCAAATTTTAGTTCGCTCTTCATGGAGAAATCAACTTTCTGCTGTATTCTTGGAGAGATTTTCCTGCAGCTTATCTTCCCTACTCCCCCCATCGGCGGCGTTGACCTCCGTGCTGACACCTCCAACTATGACTGCTCCGGTTGATGACATGACAGGACTGTACAAAGGACTCCTTCCTCACGAAAAGCTCTCCACACGTTGAAAACCTCTCTTAGAAAGCAAAAGGCCGTCTTAGTCCACCTCATTATTCATTTTTTCTTATTTTAATCAAAAAAAGCAAAGAAAAAGAATGGAGACAATTTCCCAAATTTAGAGTAAGGAGTAAAAGGAGGGGAGGAAAAAAGAGTTGATAACAAGAGAAACGGAAGGCGGAGGGGGGGGGGTGAGTAATCTCAAGGAGGCATTTGAAGGGTTTGGTCGAGAAAGCTGAGGATCGTTGCAATCAAGTGGTCACCATCGCGGATCCTGTGCCGCGAGTCTGGATAAAACTAGAGGGGAGGGAATATGCCTCATTAAAAATGCACGTAGGAGTAATAATAAAAATATTAGGCTTGAGTAAGTACGGTTGCAAGATTAAGCAGTCGTGCAAGTTCACAGCAAAACACTTAAATTGGCAGTGAGTAGCAACAATCCAGGAATTAATTTAAACGGATTAAAAAAGAACTTGGAGCCAAAAAGCGAGCAGATATGAAAGGCACTAAAACCGAAAAAAGGTTTTAAATGGGGAAAACAAAAGTAATAGACAAAATGCCCATGACCTTGTCAGGGTACCCTAGCATTAGGATGCTGAAGTGAGAAATAAGTAGCTCAATCTAGTAGTAAGCAATATGACACGTCCTAACTACTGAAATGGGTGGTGAGTAGGCGGAGGTGCGTACGGAGAGGTGGTAGGGTTTGCCGAGGGCATTCAGACGCTGCAGAAGACTGGCTGTGTGCGCAAAGTGGACATTCTCATCCTGTCCACCATGTGCGATCAGCAGGTATGGTGACTCGTCCGGAAAGTAGCTGGCATAGGTCAACACGTCACCATTTCTAGCCAGGCGGCAAAAAACAGGCAAATTACTCGCTACTTCAATGGGATTTCAGTAAAAGGCGAATGCTTTGGAGCTGTTAGTGCGCGAAAGTAAAGCAATCAACTTACACGTAGGCATCTTCGTGGTCCGAGGGGAGGCCGAGGTATCGCTCCGTGTAGGCTGTGTCATAATGCTGCCAACTTACAACCGGACAGACGGCTATCGAGGCTCTGTAGGCGTCGCGGTGTTTTGCCGCGGCCATAAGCGCCAGATACCCACCTGAGGGAAACAAACAAAACGCGACCATTGGGCATTTTTCCCACTGTAGCAACAATTTCGCGAGTTAAAAAAATACTACAGCGCACCGTAAGAGCTCCCATAGATCGCCACGCGGCTAAGGTCAATCAGGCCCGTTTGATTCGCGGCTTCGCGTAGGAACATTACATGATCAGGCAGTTCCACGGTTCCCTTGACCACAGGGAGAGAAGAAAAAGGATAAACGGGGGACGAAAAATAGCTGCACATGCATGCATTCAGAATGGAGTGATAGACCTGAGACGGAGCAATGGCTGAAGATCAAATGGAGATCCAGAATTGCAGCTGGAAGCTCCAAATTTGTCACATTTCTGACAGGATTGGGCAGCCGTAAACGGCAAATAGATGGGTAGACTTAGACACGACTGGCGAAGCAAATGCTACTAACTAGGCGGATTATAAGTAGTGGGCAACAAATCTCACCATTTGGTATTTAATGTGTCCGGCAAATTGACTTCCTCGATTTGCAGAACCGCGACAATCACAGAGGAGCAGTGCGTAGCCGAAATGGCAGTAGATTTGTGCCCTCAGCATCCTGGAAAAAAGGCAAAAATGCAGAAATGAACTTAACAAATGCGCAACGCGATCGCCAACTAATCATATCGCTACTTTCAACTGTTTGAGTAGTGCTCTTCGAAAAGAAACTGAACCTCCGAAACTGACTTTTCATGCCTGGATTTTGATTAACAAACTTAATTCACCTCTTTTTTGCTAGAAAATCGCCTTCACCTTTCTAACCTCCAACACCTCTTGCCAATGGGGAGGACAAACGACGTTCAGAAAGGTTTCCAGCTTAATCGAAAGCGGTAAACGCGAGACATGGAACGCCTTCTGCACGACGGGATGGCTACACCTGGGGACTTGATTAAGAGGCATCACAATGAGTTGGAAAAGGTTACCAGAAAGAAGGAAATAGCCTTTCATCCTCTTCATCTGTGTGCGTGCTCACTTCCTCTCTCGTGGGAGGGATGTAGAACACTCTGCACGTTCAATCGGCTACAGTAATAATCAAGCAACCTAGATGCGATCCGAGGTCATGCCTTCCAAGCTAGTGAACCCAGAAACGGTCTATTTGAGTGAACAGCAAAGAAGCCAGATTCTTCAAGACCCTCCGCATCGCAGAAGATTTCAGGAGGCTCTGCCAACGCACTCCCTTCAAACGAGACATGCCACAGTAGCCGTCTAGTACAACTGTGACAACGAAAAAGGAGTAGATGGTTGGGCTGAAGGAAGGATGCCCTGTTGGCAGGCTGGCTAACTCGACGTATTCAATGGACTTGGCACACCTCCCTCACATCAGTGAAAAATAACTCCCAAATCACCAAAACTCACAGATTTCGGAGACAGACGCCACGAACAAGCTGGACACCGGGTCCACCGTAGACAAGATGCAGAGTGGGAAATCCTCGCGGAGGTCGTGTCTCCGGTGGCGGCGTGAAGAGCATTCCATGGAAGGTGAGGGCTGTTCTTGAGGTGGCGATGTCTTTGAACGTGAGCGAGAGGACTCGAGGACCACAGGGAGGACTCAAAACAGTCGATAGAACGGTGTCAACTGGAGCTGAGCGGAAAAAAAAGGGGAAACGACTAAGACCTCCTCAAACATCTTCACGTTGTGGAAGGTTTCAAACGCCAATTGAATAGTCACTAAAATTCAGTTCAAAGAGTATTCTTCTCACCCAATTTTTTCAACACAGCCAGGGCCTTCAACCGCGGTATTCCATTCGCATCGATGTGCAATCGAAAGAGAACTTGACCGGGCAACAGCCTTGGGCTGGAGGCCTCCACCACGCAAAGACCGGAAGCCGCGTCAAAGGTGAGGAGGGAGAAGGAAAGACGAAACTCCACCTCGGCTAGTTGGGTGTTGGTGACAGCCGATAAAGCTAGCCAATCACACTCAAGGGTTAAGCGATGGACGCGAGGCTCCGCCAGGCCATAGTTAACCGCGTAACTAAAAGTGCGAGGCAAACCGGGACGCTACTTAAAAGGGGTTATCAGTAGTGTGGAAGATAGAAGCTTAATCATAGCTTTTTCCGACTCCTAGAATAAGCAAATTAGTACTCACACATTTGCCCACAAGGGATGTTCACGCAGAGCCTCAAACAATAGTAAATTGTTCACATCATCCACGAAAATCTAAATGTGGACCAAAAGCAAAAGAAGAATCGTGTCTGCTTATAAGTATTTAAGTAGCAGGTCCCTCCCAAGAGGAAACTTAGGCATGGACATTATTTGGGCAGAAAAGAAAACAACTTACATGATCACTTAGCACATCCCAATCGCCCTCGGTCAGTTGACGTGCTTTAACAGCCTCAGCAGGCGCAAAATATCGTGTACCGGGTGTAGATATGATTATTTTTGATGACGGTGATTGGGGAAATAGAGTGAGGTTTCTAACATGCTCGTAGAGGTGGGCATAGCCCGTGCGTTGACTGAGCCAAATATACCGAACGATGTTGGAATTGGCTTCCAAAAATCGCAAACAGTCGTGTGCCTACAAGAGGCCAGTTGCATCATGGAATGTCCGATGTGATACAGTAAAAAGGAGGGCAAAAAAGGAGATAACTAGCTGACTAACCTCAACCCAGGAGACAGGATCCTCTTCATCGTACAAACGAACAAACGGAGTCCACTCTCCGGTGTAGAAGGACCGCGGGGAAATGAGGAAAAGGCTCATCTTCGATTGCAAACGATTCGACAACACCATCCAAAAACTAGAAAACAAAAAAAAATTATACACGTAAGAAGGGAACAAAAGGTAGGACTCACTATTCCCCATTCTCTGTCCAATCACATCGCACGAGATACTCGTACTCGGGGAGCATTTGGAAGAGAGGTGTGGCCCACTCTCGAATCTTGATATCGGTTATCTAAGAACAGAAGTTTGGTGAAAAAAATGAGCGACTTCCCACCTCGTAACGCTCCGCGTCCAGCATGAATGTGACCATCTTCAGTGTTGAAGTGGCATTTTTCCTGCCTGGAAAATAACAGCTACTTAAACGTTTGCAAGTAGGTGGTCTTGCCAACAAAAACACAGGACGAGTACCTGGTTTGGGGTAGGCGTGATGCTCAACCTGCTCGTTCCAAGCGGTGAAGTTGGGCAAGGTGATCACTTCGACGTCACGCTCATCAATCTCCTCATAGATCAAACAATAGGTGCCTGAGGTAGATTTAAGCAGCATGGTGACTGTCCAAACTAGGTTTCGAAGGCTCGGGGCTAAGAAATGTCCCACTGCGGAACTCACCGCTAGAATCCAAAACAGGACGCCACCAAAGACCGATGTAACGATAAAACTCCTCCTGTACGACGAAGGAGGACCTACCCGCAGAAACTGTGAAGAATAAAGACCCTGCTTGTCAATCAATCCCAATAATAAATGCCAAACCGTCCATCGCCCTCAAAGCCCTTGGATTATTCATTGACGCACTCGTCCAAACCCCGTCCACATGTCCATTCTCACAGATCTTGGACGCACGCACGCACCCACTTAATCTATTGAACCAGCTACATATCCATTTTAAACACGCGGAATCAAAGCAGTTGACCAACTGATGGCCAGTTTGTGCATCCCGTATATATCTGTTCGCTTAACGACCACAACCGTCCACCAATATGCCCATTCATCAACTCAACCACTTTGTAGACAGCTATTTACCATCCTACCATGCATCCGCTCACCCACCTACCCACTTAAGTGTCTAATAAAACTAGGAGAGTTAAAGAACAAACTAGAAAAGGCTGGTATACTCTTGGGATCCGTGATGTTGGTGATGAAGGTGTACGTCGAGGTGAGGGCATTCGTAATCCCAATGTTCGACCCGTCCACATAGGCAATGAGGTTTGGGTTGCTGGGGCAGGAGATCGGCTGCATTGCCGACTCGCCAGCCGATAGTACGTTCAGGGAGGTTTCGATCTGGTTAGGCAAAGAAAAGGATAAAAAGTCCCCGCTTTAGTATGCTACTGGCGTCACTAGCCGTGGCGGAAAATTTCACGTTTGTTGTACTACCAATACATCAGTACTTGCTGAGAGTCAAACAAATACGCTTGAGGCATTCTAACACCGGATGTTAGCAGTAAAACAAGATTCTCACGAAAGGAGAGGACCGCGGCCAGTTGTGATCAGTAAATTGGACGATTTTTCCAGAGAAGGAGGTGAGAAAAGTGCCTGAGCGTGGATTCAGCTTTATGTCCGAGGTGCTAAACTGACTGCTTCGCATGCGCTCGCGTAGGAGGCTTTCGGCCAACGGAACCTTCGAGCGGCTGTAAAGGAAAATGCATTATCCAACTTTTAAAATGACTGCCACCATCATTAGTGGAATGCCTCCAAAAGCGCAGTCGCTACGGGCCGAAAACAATCACCAAAATTGAAATACTACTATATTACGACACCGAGAGACTACTAGAATCTGATACAGATGATAAGGACTTACAGTGCTACACTGCGAAAAGCATCATTTTGAAGAAGTGGCTGAAGAACCAAATTGTCTTGAATACAAGCGGTTTCAGACATGTCGACATCGGCATAATAAATATTCATGTTTGCATTGGAAGATAAGAGGCTAGCAAAGTAGACGCGACATTCTGGTAAATTCTATCAAAAGGCGCATAAAAAATCAATGGAAAGTAAGGCAAACCAGAGAAGGACGAAGATTAATGAAATAGGGCTGCGAGGCTACAATATCATTAAGCGCGTTTGCCAGTTGAGCAGCTTTGAAAAAATCCGCAAAGGTACGTGATTCAACCTCTTTGTAAGAGCTTTCGGCTCCCGTGGCCATTTGAGCAAATGCAAAGTGAATATGGCTAAGGAAATAACGGAATAACTGAAACTTTATGGACACGGATATAAGCAACGGGATAATTAGGAGCCAAAATAAGCAAGGACTCTGTAAATTTATATTACCGTACAATGTTAAGCTTATCATATTTTATTGCAAGATACACCGGATAAAGGGTAACATAACAAGGGCAACAAAAATGTATTGAGAAAAATATGCCCAGAATCTCGTCTCAATCTTAGTAAGGATAACAAATCAAGAGTTCTAAGACTTTCAAATTCAAAAAAATAGCAAACAAAAAAGTGATAAAAAACAACCACAGCATCGTGTAACGCATCTACAGAAACCACACACATGTGATAAGTTGCAGGCTAAGCAGGGAGTCAAACACTGGCTCAAGGTCAGGGCAATTATTGAATCACTCTGAATAATTCCTTATAATCTATGTAAAATTACCCACTAAAATGTTCTTTTTAAACAAAAATTTTTAATAAAGAATTATGTTTTTAAAAACTTATAAAAATTATTGCAGAAATTTGCGAGAAACTGACCTGACTGATTCAAGAAAAATCAGCAAGTGTTTCCTTTTTTTACAATTACTTACACAAAATTTTAGCTTTTACTATAACTTTAGGTAAAACCGCATTTACGCTTTTAGTAAGTTATTGTAGGTTACATCATCAACAAAATATGCGAATTTTATTTTGCAAACTTGTCTGACCCTATCACGATAGACATCAATACTGGCAAATAAACATTTTTTTGTAGAATAGTAGTTAATTACTTTCAGAAGGAAGATCTTCTAACAAAATATTACTATTTTTTGTGTAATACGATAGTGGTTTTTCCCTCGATTCTGGTGAGACGCCACTTTTGTACTTTGAATTAGCCTCCTTTTTCCTCGCTGGGTGGGCTGGCCTTTTGGGTCATGCCGATAGCCCAGACACCTTCTTCGTGCTGAATATATATATTCTGCCCTAGTATTATGTCTTCTTTCGTCTTCAGGGAGTCCCGGGACGTTACATTGGTGGCAGCGGAAAGCGAACCCGATCTTACAAGACATGTATCCTGATTTTCCACTTCTGCGTGATAAGCCTTAGTGGAGCGGAAGAGCTACATATGCTGCGGATGGGGGAATGCTGATGACCCCTAATAGAAGGGTTGATGTTGACGTCTACCTTCGGCATCTCTCCTAGTCCCGTGTTCTGCAGAAAGCTGTTAACTGAAGCGACACTAGCCGTGAACCATCTGGAAGTTTCGTTGCGGATTTCCCCTACCGTCCCCCATGAACCTGTTTTAAGTCTTGTACTTCCTTACTCAAATCTGCTTTTAGGCCAGTGTTCCTGCATATATCTATGGACACGCATGATGGCCGACGCAGTTCCCCGTCCTGAATCAAATCCCTAAACCGAATGAAACCCCAGGTCCAGTCAAGCCGCCAAGAGGGATCAGTGACGTTGAGGTCAAGTATCCCCCCAGTTGCGCGCTAATTTGGTTACTAGCGCGGTCGGCTCGTGGTTGTTTCTTTGCAGCACCAACTACGTTGTAATGGCTGACGCGGGAGGTTGACCTGTGGGAGCGCAGGGGACGACTCTCAAAAGAGGAGGGGGGCTATGTAATACGATGGTGGTTTATCCCTCGCCATTGGTGAGGCGCCACTTTTGTACTTCGAATTAGCCCCCTTGTACCTCGCTGGATAGGCTGGCCTTTTGGGCCATGCCAAGAGCCCAGACACCTTCTCCGTGCTGAATATATGTATTCTGCTCGAGTATTCTGTCTTCTTTCGTCTTCAGGGAGTCCCGGGACGCTACAATTCGGTTCTTCCAATCAAACACAAATGTGTTATGGTGATGAGGCCTACTTAATTACACACATCCAGTATCTGTTTAACGATGAGAGAAAAAATTGTATTCATAATCAGCAGGTCGTTTCGCAGGCCGCTTCCAACGCACCTCAGATCAGCAAACGTCCCCTCAGTTATCCAGGCTGATGCTAAATTTTAAAAGGAAAATAGGACTTTATGGAATAATCGTTCCCCAGTAGTTCCCAAAAAAGTGAGACTGGCGAACCATTTAGCTGATTCGATTTGACTTACCGTTCAAGACGTACTCTAGACTGACGGTGCCAAGTGTGTTGTAGGCGAGGCAGGTGTATTTCTGATTCAAATCAGCAGCAGTGATTGGATTGAATGCCACCACTAAAAATCGAGTATTTCCTCCATTCAAATAGACCAGTCGGCTTCTGGAAAAAAAAAGGGCAGCATTTGTATTGCCGTCATTTGATTGGTTGCTACTCTTACGTCAGACCAATCAGAGCAGTGTTAGTCAAGGAGAGGACTTCAAGGAAGAAATGCATGGAATCAAGGATTTTTAGGACAAAAGGAATTATTTCTCTCTAGAGAATGATTTAGCAAAATCTAGAGACTTTTTCACAAAAGCGGAAGTTAACTACAGCTGGTTACTAATTTGTGGATAGACCGCGCGGGCATGCAGAAAGAACATGGTGATATGCACCTTCGAGGAGGTATGTAACAATTATACAGTTTTTATGATCTCACCCTCCCAAGGTCAACATATTCCCCTTGACTCGTTATCTACGTGGGTGGCATAGGGCTCCGCCATGAGTCTACTAGCTTTCCGCAGTCTTACGCTTTGCAACATTTTCGAAGGTTGCTAAAACACAACATTGGTGATGGTACGGTGTACTTGACCTACAGCTTTTGCACCCCCTCTCACTCTTCTTTCTAGAGGCTGACCGATAGAATATTCCCTCGGATACTCGTTTCTACGCTACACTAACAGCTGAATTTGTAGAGTGTCAAAAACAATGCTCAAGACGTAACGAGAGAAGAAGCGCATCACAATGGCTGCTAAACGGAGGATTCCCTAATCGAACGCATCACGGACGAAGGTGTGAAGCTACGCTAACAGCCGCTCAGCTCCCCTGGGTACGTCAATAATGAAGCTATTTTCATCTGCATGCGTTCAGCCAAGAGCTACAAAAATACGTAGCATCTCACCGATCAGTTGATACAATTGGTGTTGGAGTTGACCCAACACTCCAAATAATTTCTGTAGCCTCCGAGGGTGGGTTGGCCAATACCTCGCAGTAGAGGTGGACATTACATGGCGATTGAGTGATCGGAGCCGTCACATATATCCGGATCTTGGGCTTATCTAGAAGTTAAAAAAATCAAACTAACCTAACCACTCACATCGAACTGCGACCCTAACTGGCCAGTAGTCGACGCCCAACCGATTTTCAACCATGCACATGTACTCCCCTGCATCCTCAGGTAGTACGGATAGGAAATCAATTATTTCTCCCTGCATTGGGAAGAAAACACTCATTTAATTGAATATATTAGAAGTGGGTTTAGACACAAGCATTTACTGACCGGTTTACTGATTCCGTAGTTGCGTATAAGACTACTTGAACCACCCGTGCGACTCCAATAAACAACAGGCTGAGGAATCCCAGCTCCTTGACAACGTAACGTCATTCGGTCTCCCTCAGTAACAGTGGTCGTATAGGAGGAGTAAAATGGTAGCACCTTTGCTTGAGCTTTTCAATAAAGTGAAAGCATAAATGAAATCAAAGTGCACTTGCTGTTTCATTTTAAAAGTAATCACTTACACACAACGCGCAAAATGCGTTCAGCCCTAGCAGGTTCAACAGAGCCGGTGTATTGACAGTCGCAAGTATAATGTCCAGCGTAGGACTCATCTACGACAAGAATTTCTAGTCTGATTAAACGTTATGTATAAGTGTTGTATAATGCTCACCGAATAGAGTTAGTTTGTTTTCCCTGACCAATCTTCCACCTTGACATATCACGAGACATTAGACCGTCGTTAATAGTCTCTGTGACCATGCCGTCAAAACTCACCCGACGCCAAATTACCTATTATATCAGTAATTAAGAAGTCACCGGTAGATTACCCGAGCATTCGGAATCATATTAAAAATGTTGCAAATAAAAATCACGCTTTCACCCATCAGAGCTTCAACTACCACAGTTTTGTTGGGAAAAGTTTTTATTCTTCCGGTATCATTTGAAGGCTTCTCGTCGTAAATACTAACATCAGGTGTAATAACGAGTTCGTGTTCTAAAAACGGTCCAATTTTTATAAAGTAACGTACGACAAAAGACAACGTGTATTATAAACGCAAACGCAAACAATAACACCAAATTTAATGCATAAATGCAAATATCCATTTTAAGAAGCTGCCTCATTATTGCAGATCACACCTGTAAGTATAAACAACTTGGGGTCAAATATTAAAAAGTGCCTTTATGCATTATATAGCCAACAAAACCCTGTACCTTTTGTGGTTAAAACAATAAATCTCATCGTTTGATGAAAGGTGTTTAAAATTTTGCAATAGCAGCAAGTTGCAACAATTATGCCATCCTTATTTTCTGCTCATTATATTGGCATGCAAGCATATTTCTTTTTAAACAACAATTTCAAACAATTCACTTTTTAAAGGACGTTTCTTCAGATTGATGCTATATTTGTATTTTCTACCTGTCTAACTTCTTGGAATCTCCTGGATTTACAAATAATAACTCTCATTGTTGCAAACCTCTGTTAGCATTTAAATACATAAGTGTGTAAAACCTTTCTGGCTGCGCGTTGGCTATCTGCTTTAATAAAGGCCCTGACTGGATACCTTCTACGTCGCGTAGCGTCCTAGAACATCTCTGAAGGCTTGAGAAGTCACAAATGTGGCGAACAAAGGTTCATCACCTATTAGCACCTGCCAAATCATATTCGGCAAGTTCTGTGTTTAGATCAACAGTGGGTTTAATTCCGAGGGTACTCTGGTCTCTAAGCGTTAAACTTCGGCACGACCTTCTGGCCAAGCTAGCAATCCCCAACATTTCCGCTCGTTGCTAATATACTTTCTTTTTCGACAAAACATTGAGTTCATACTATCGCAGAGTGGGGGGGGGGGGGCTTGGGACGCTGCATTAAGGGCAGAGGAAAAAGGACCTCAATCCAGAGGGACGACCACTCTGTCTACTATGTTGTGGAGGAAGGGCGCCTGCGATGGCCACCACCAGGAGGGCTCAATGTGACGCCAATTCCTAACACCTACTCCAGCCCCAGAAGGCCCTTAGCAACTGAAGCGACGCCGGGCCCCGCGACTCCCATGTGGGGATGCCAAATAGGCGGATAAGCGATATTTTCTCCATTATCTCTCTTCCAGCCGAACGTCTTCAACAAAATGGCTCCTCGTTAAAAAACATCGCCCGGTTTTGAAGCCAGTGCACATTTCAGTTAAGAGGTGGAGACTGTGGAATTGCCGAGGCGCCTCAGTGACGTCAAGTCCAAAGTCCTTCCCAAAAAGTCTGGCATTTCCGATTTGCATCGACTAGAACTTCAGGGGAGAAGTGTAGCCTAGTGAATAAAGTCCATCATCAATCAACTTATCCAAATTGATTGATAAGAGGGGTCTCATTCAAACACTACAACCGTCTTTACTTTGGGTACAAGAAAAGTAGGCACACGCACGAATCATGAATCACAAACCCAACAAATATCACAATTGGTCAGTCAATCAGTCCTCCACCACTTCAAATTGGTTGTGTGAGGCGCGTTGTTGACGACGATGGTACTGAAGCTCGGGACTGCGCCTGCTTCGCCGATCCAGGTGTGGAAGGGCTCGAGTCTCCGGAAAATGACGACTGCAAAAGGGGACAAGTTTGGCTGTTAACCAGGGCAAAGGTGAGAGGGAGGAACGAGGACAGAAGGAGCGTGAGACAACAACAGAGGGGGAACAACACGGAAACGCACATCTCCTCCAGGTTGATGGTAGGTCAACTGAGATGGGCAGATTGAGGGCTAGAAAGCAGAAGTCATCGAGAAAACGAGAGACGAGCATAAAGGAATAAGACGACGAATGGTGTTCGTGGCTATCCACCTGACCACCTTTTTGGTCTTGCTCATCCACACCTGGCCAACACAGACCCACAAATTCGACGTTCTCTTCAACAAGTCCATTGCGCTGGCTTTACTTCGCCCTCTGTCCAGCCATTCATCCAGCATCCATCCATCCATCACCCATCCCGTATTCATCCATCCATCCTGTCTCCACGCCACCTCCTACTCGGCCGTCCATCAATCTATCCGCACATCAACCCAGTTATCTCCACCTATCCACACGTACATGCATCCTTAATTTGTCCAGTAGCCTACCTTCCGAATTGATGGACGTATTAGTCTGGGGTGGAGGAATGGATACAATGTGCAAGAACCGGGTTGATGAACAAGTTGTGGAATGGATGCGCAAAAGATCAAGTAGGAATAACCCGGTAGCTAAATTTATGAGCCGATTCCTGAACCAGGGTTGACATGAGGGCCAGGCAAATGGGTCAGGATTGGATGGATGAATGGGATGGATAGTCCCAGCACAGATGGAGGAGTGGTTTGAGAGATGGCTAAATGAATGCCTAGCTCAGAAGGTGAATGGATGAATGAATGAATCAAAAGCCAAGTGAATGTCTTGATAAAGCAACAGCACCTGCCGCTACCACAGAGAGGTGTCACATTCCAGCGTGATGAAAGCTAGGCTCATGACATGCCGGTTGCACGCATTACTTAAACAGGTCAGGTCAAAGCGACCACGGCACCGCCATCGACAACGACTTTCACGCACACATTGTGTAAGTGGATTACAAAATAGAATAGAAAGCAAAATCACTCCAGACTGGATGAGTAGATGGCTGTAACACCTGGTGGAGAAGAGGTGAATCTGGAAATACGCCCCACCGCCCCTCACCACGCTGCAATGCATAGCAATCAAAAGCCAGTCGATGCGAGAGAGAACAGCACCAACAAACCCAGCACCATTGATTGGCAGCGTGCACATGATCTCCATCACGAATGCCTTGTGCATGTGCATGTGTGTGCGTGTGATGTTCAAGAGTGCAGCAACAGCTGCCCAATTCACGTGGCCCGCGAGGCATCGAATGCAGCCCTCTCTGCCATAGATGGCCTTCAGTCTGATATCCATGACAGTGCCTCTGAGCTGCATCAGTCACTCAGCCCCACTCTATCCAAGGCCTCAGTGACGCTGCATCCCGACTCAGAGATCTGATGACGCCTTCAAGAATAAAAGAATATTCTCCAACCAACGGACGGGCAGATGAGGACAGAAGAGCGTTGGTGCCTGACACTTGATTTTGTCAAGAGGAACTAGCAGGCTACCTCCATGGAACTTGGCCATCTCTTCAAGAAGGACCCATGTCTAAATGGATCGGCTCGATAAGGTGAAAGAAAAGCACCCTTGCGGATCAGGTAAATTAGTGGGCCAAATACCCCAACGCGACCGAAATGGAGATCTGGCGCCCCGGAGTTGTGCAATTATAAAGGAGAAATGCAGTCGGAACGCAGTTCAGACAGGCACCACCCGCCCTGATTACTGATGTACAATGACGGGTGAAGAAAGGGGTGGGGGAAGAGGCTCGTGGAAAGCGATGAAAGGGGCCGCCATTGAAGCAGTAGTAAAAGCGCTCTTTCTTATCTGTTACCAGTTCGAAAGAAATCTACCTAGACACCCTGACTGGAGGCGTTTATCCCCCCTTTAGCAGTCAGTATCAATCGGCATCGGCACTTGCCGAATGCAGACAATGACCTGACGGCTCGAAACAACACCAAATGAAGGACTGGGAAATAAAGGCAGGTTGAGGAGGAGACTAGGATGTAATTAGCTAGTGAACAGACATCTCAGCACACAGTACAACCCATTCACCGCGGCTAGGCTTGGAGACCCGGAGATGGAGCAAGAGCCGGGGATAGGGAGAGGCTGAAGTCAGTTGGGCAGGGAAGGGGAGGAGAGGGGGAGGAGCGCCGAAACTAACCCTACTTTGGGGAGAGACAAACTCAACTTGTAAAAGGGGCAATTTTGACGCAGGAAATGCGGAGTGAAGGATGATAATTGAGCAAAAACTCACCTTTACGGATTTAAAGAAGGAGGAGACGCTGTTATTGACGCTCTTGTATGCATTGGTGTTTCTGTGAGGATAAAGTAGAAAAAAAAAAGGGGGGATCAATCCTCTATTCTAGAATAAAAAGGTAGAAAAATAATAAAAGACGACTTTTGCTCTAAAGTAAGGTCTGGAGGTTATGCCCTCATTATAGTGATGCTAAATTTTTCGGTACAAAGTGCTGCACAACGTAAGGACACTGCAAGCCACCCATAGTGGCGCCATATTTGAGTGGAAAAGGATGACAAGCATTCAGTGGATCCTAAGCAAGTGTTGTGGCATCACGTTCAGCATTGGAAGGCATTTCAGTCCACAACAGTGGACCACCAATCAAGAGGAGAGAGCAAACTCTTAAGGCACTTGGTATCCACCACCAGAACCAATTCTCAATCAGCCTCGCCTGGACTCGTCTTCAACCGCAGCACAGCATGACAGGGAGTGCACAAGAAATAGAGGCAGTGACAATGACTTACGTCACGTTATTCCATTGCTTAGTAACCGCGTCCTTGACGGTGGTATAACTAAAATAGATAATAAAATAATGAGAGCACCCTTAGGAGCAGGATATAGCAATTTTCACTCGACAGACAGTCAAACAATAAGAGAGTAAAAATTAGGCGTCGACGTCATTCGCTAATCAAAGTTCACGGCTTTCAGTGACACTAGAAAAGTCGATCCCTTCATGGCGACGATTTGATGACAAACATAGAAATGAATTAAATGTAGATATTGGGATCAGTTTATTTTATGTTTCACGAAAAACTGAAGGCTTTAAGACATAAAAAGGCGATTTCTCATAATCACCTATTTTAAAAAGGCGTCTCGAACAAGCCAGTTGATATGGGAATCATGGTTTTCAAAACCTCTTCCAATATCTAAACCTTTTCCAAGGTTTGGTTGGTGAATGTTATTGCCATGAATCATGATTCCTGAGTCGAAAACGCCTCCATAAATTTAGGGTCAACTAGCATTCGCCTAATTACAGATTTGACAGACACATCGCATAGGCGTCCTCACTATAGGGTAATAAATCTCAGATAATGCAGCATAGTTCAGTCAGCTTAACTGATCAAAGGGGTCACATGACATAGCAAAGAATAATGCGTCATCAGCCAGCCTCACATCTTCATGATAAAGCGCATGAGTTTAATCTAATGAAGAACTCAGCTGCCTATACTTTTACATCGAGACTTCTTTTTTCATCTTGAACCATGGAAAAGGAACGCGGCTGAAAAGTACTCCTTCTATACACCAAAAAACAACATAAACAATTTAGACCAACGTTCTTCCCACCCAAATAAACAAGACTGCCGTTAAATCGTAACTTTTTGCTTAAACGATGAAAAGTTAGACGCAAAACTCACGGTTTTGAATTAGCAATAGACTGTGCAGCTCGTTTCATATCATCCTTGGCGACGTCAAACCCATACATGCCAAGCTGACGCTTTAGTTGGGCAGCCCGTTCTTGCTTAGAGATGAGTACTGCCTTCAAAGTGGAAATCTCATCCTCAATCTGCAAAACATCTAGTTATATGAATCAACAAAACCATCACCTTGTGAAGCTCCTCTTCTATTTCATTTCGATCTGGTGTAGGTGTGTAAGGAGGAGGGTTTTCCAGTGGAGCGGATGGTAAACTAGGGTACAAACCCTCTTTTTCAGTGCCAGCTAGAAAAAAAGTACAAATAAGAGTAAAATTTGATTCATGTAAGCTAATATTACTCTACTAGGCAGTGAGTGGAAGACAAAGCGACAAATTAACCCATTCACAAGAGAATAAAGATATTATAGATCGCAGGGGCAAAAATAGGCATTAAAACGGAAATAGCTTACGCATTGGATACGGAACAGACATGTTTACTCAAGCCCAGGCGTGTACTTATAAGTTACTGACGAAATGACCTTGAGAGCACAAATTTCGGCTTAACAGGCCAAAGCAAAACTGCTGAAACTGGTTTCATGCACTGCTTCTCTAGGCAAGTTATCAGCGTAAAGGTAGGCCACAAAAAAACCTTTTAAATTTTATTTGCACAAGTTTAGTGATTGATTTTGCTCTAGAATGCTTTAGAAGACTAACGTTTAATTGGTAAAGGAAATTTTTAGCTTCTATACCATGATCTCAATTCGGCTTAAAATCGAAATTCTTTTGTGCTAAACTTTTTAACTGTAGGAGAGAGCAAGATATGTAAGCAAAAAATACCTACACACACTAGGCGATTCTCTATCCCACATTACCATGCTTCAATTCTACTTTACTCGTTAAACCTAGCGAATAATAGCACCTTTCCGTTTACAAATCAGCAATGATTTATCATTGCTAAAAAGTTTTTGGCACATCTATATCTCGAAATTGCGACAAAATTTAGCCTTGAAATATTGGCCATTAACGTAGTATTAATAAGTTTTAAGAAGCAAATCTGAAACCGTTGCCCTTATTTTTATGGTTTAATACGTTGATTTTAAATTATTTTTTCAACAAAAGAATATACTAACTGCGTACACCTTTTTTGACCTGCCCAAACAAAAGGCTGGTTGCCTTCATCACTCGCGATTTATCCAAAGTGGTACTACGTTTACTGTATGCATAAAATGAATCTCAGTTAACATATTTAATTGCCTTATTGGTGTCGCATATGTGTGATTTCAAACAATGTGACGTTCGCTGTAACTTTACGCAAACTAGTTGCAACAGCCCGCCTTTGAGCCGGATTTAGAACAGGTAAATAAAATAAGTAATGAACAACTAAGATTTCTAAGCTAATGTAGAACCTTTAAGACGAGGCACTCGGCTAAGGCATAACCTAGTGCCGAATCTGAATGTTAAAGCCCTTGAGCCACGCCGATCGCCTTTAGCACCACCAGGTACTGCGCGGGCGCATCTGGTATGACCCCCTCCACGTCCAAGAGCCCTTAAATCTGCAGAGATAGCAGGCGAATCCCCAAGACATTTATGAGGGTTCACGACCACCAACTAATCTACGAACACGTAGACCGCCCCAGCAGAAGCACTCTTGCCTACAAATCATACCAAAAAACCTCCCTTCCGATCATGCCTCCGCAGCAATTCACCTCGCCTTCAGCGCTACTGGCTGATTGCTCTGCTATGGTTAAAGTAGTGGAGATAGCAAATTCTCCACCGATTTTTCCTTGGACTTTTACGGAGGAGTCAAACTGCAAAGATGCTGGTTGCCATCTACCCTAATCAACGGAAACCCCGCCTCGACAATTCGCACCGCCCTTTTAACAAAAGGCACTCTTCCTTGCCACTCTCATGATGGAGACTCTTCAGTCGACCTTTCAATACCAGTGGAAAAATCGATACATTTGAACTGTCCGGATGAGCCTGGATGAACACGTGGGCTACTTGAAGCACAGATCGGGCTTTCGCACGCGGTATTGTCCAACCAAAACGGTTTAATTCGCACGCCAACCCGTTGCTCAATGCTCACCCCACAAGCACTGCCTCGCCTCCCCACCACCTCCACCAAATCCATCTCAGGCTCTCGCACCAATGCGCTGAAGAAGAGCAAACAACGGCACGACTACAAACTGCCATCCCTATCCCCCAACCAGAAGCTCTCGCCTCCCCCCAAAATGCCCCCGATGTGCAAGCCAGAGCGCTGGACGTATATGTTCTCGAAGAGTCTACCGAAAAGTCGCAATAAATTGCATCTACCGCCGCTGGAAACAGTCTCCATGGAGAAGACGGGAAGGAAGAATTCACGGGAGAAGGAGATGAAGATCCTGCCGAAACTGGAAAAGTAGGACGCACAACATTTTTAGGCACGCTTTATACTTTGTAAGACACACATAAGATGACTGTATCTCTACTCTGTACGTGTAACATAACTTCTATATTCGCATTTGCGCTTAGAATGAGGCATTTCTTAATGCAAAAGAAAATTCTTTTTTGACAAGAGTTCACACCATCTTCTCCTTCTTCCTCCTGCTTTGTCTCTATGCCGAATGCTTCAGAGGCACTGAAGTAAGTGGGTTTAGAGGATTGGGACAAATAATTCTTTCTTTCGTTATTTTAGCCACGTAACAGTAGTAAAAAGATTGTAACGCCCGTCACTGTCGCCTAGTTGGCAAAGAAATGGGTCTAGGGATTAGTTTTAAGAGGGGATAATAGCCCTCTTGAACACCTCATGGGGGTATAACTCGCCTAAATAACAAAATTTAGTCATTTTATTTTCGAAAAGGATTGGGTGGTTTAATTGTTTAACCATAAGTAAATAAAAGCAAAAAATTAACCAATGGGATTCTAGGGGGTAAGGCCTCCTCGCAATGTGATTGGTAACGTGGGTTTTATGACTCTGACAAGTGATTGGCTAAGTGGGCACCAATTAAAATTGAGGGATTAATTTATTATGGGGGATAAGCTTGTGCACCGCCAAATTGAGGGCCAATTAATCCCCCTGAGACACCGCCTCGGCTAAATTCACCACATGAAAACGTCAGTAAGGCGCTTTGTGGTGGTTAAAAGAAGGGCAGATTACAAGGCAGTAAGGCTAAATTCCGCATGACTGTAGTAGGATAAATCGGTCGGGTGACGCTAAGAAGAAGGAATTTTGTCCACCTAAGAGAGGAGTCCACTAAAACTGCCGCCTTTTTGCAAAATAATTTTACCTTCTATGGTGACGTAGAAGCATTGATCAAGCGGTGGCGTGAATTCATGCATCTATCTGGCTGGAGTAGGGTAATAGCCTCTCCCGTTGGGTGCATGAATATCGACGCGCCATCATCAATCTTGTAGCCAAGATTCGTAAAAGTATCTTCTGAAAAAATTTTTTTGGTTCATCCATCTATTCATCCTCCTCTCCGCCCACATAAGTAGTATCATCACTCACATTAAGAGTGCTAGGAGTGGGCAGTTTCCGCATCCGCACTCGCACTGTCACCAAAAGGGAATTCCGCAGTCGAATCTAGCCCTCCGTAGATTGACCTAAAACGCACGTCGACTTATGGTTTGCACGTAAATAATTACCATCTCGGCTTGCGTCAGTGCAAATCACGATTGCAAAAGTTGCAGCAGATGTGATTCACTACATTGACAGAGAAGGGAACATTCAAGTACGCTACGCTTGCGGAGGGTGCTGCAGCTGTATCCAACACACCCCATAACCATGGACAGTATAACAATAAGAATAATGCAAATGCTACCATGCAAGTATGAAAAGACAACGGGATGATTGGTAACGACAACGCTTCCCCTAAAACACGCAAAACAAGACGAATAGGACTCACAAAATAAGACACCAATGCAGGAAATGAAGTCCATCCTTACCTGATCAAGGTACGGATTTACAGCAAAGCCCAATTTCGATCTTATTGTTCCCTAAATATCTCTCGAAGCACACAAGATTCAACACCACAGGCAAATG